CAGCAGAGGCCAGACCACAGGGCACTGTGACAGGTAGTCTAACTTTCCAGCACACACAAGCATAAAGGAAAAAGAGAGGGGGGTGTAGGGAAAACCTGTACATATTATTAAAAAAGAGGTTTGAGAGACATACGATGCAATCACAATAAACGGATCATGTTTGGATCCTGACTCAAAGAAACCACAAGAAAAAAAATCATGAGACAATTGAAAGTTTGATCACTGGCTGAATATCAGATCAGATTAAGGAATCATTAAAATTCTTTTAGCTGTAATGACAGCATTTTGTGATGGCAACTTTTTAAAAAAACTTGTTATCTTTTAGAGACATGTCCTAAACTATTAAGGACGGCGGGCTGTGATGTCTGCGATTCGTTTTCAAATGCCATGGGGGTGGGAGGTGGACAGGGGTGGCAGAAGCAGTGCTGGCTGTGACTGGCCGTTGTTGAAGTCCAGTAATGTGTTCATGGGGCTCCGTCACCTACTCTGGGTCTCTCAGACGTGTGAGGTTTTGCCTTATCGACAGCTTTCTAAACACCTGCACACGCCATGTTCTCCTCCCATTCTGAACTGCTCCTTTCCCTGAAAGCTTTATTGCAGTTGATGGCATCACCTCCCGCCCAGGGGCCTAAACCAGAAAGCAAAGACGCCCACCTCTCCCTTCACAAAGTCCCCCGAATCCTGCATCCCGATGTTTTGTATCTTCTACGTTTTTTTTAATTGAGGTGAAATTCAAATAACGTAACATTAACTATTTTGAAGTGTGCAATCTGGTATCATTTAGCATTTTCACAATGTTGTGCGTCCACCACCTGTCTCTAGTTGCTAAACTTTTCATTGCACCAGAAAAATACCCTGAGCCCACTAAGTAACCGCTCCCGTTCCCCACTCTCCCCCTCCCCCGGTGACCGTGACCGTGGCTTCCGGCCCCACGGGTCTGTCTACTACGGGTCTGTCACAGGAAAGGGATCACACAACCTGTGGTCTTTTGTAACTGGCTTCCTGCACTTAGCGCCATGTTTGTGAGGTTCACCCAAGTTGTGGCCTGTGTCAGTACTTCTACATTTTCTTAATTGTCCCCTTTATTTTCATCCCTGCCCCCTGCTCTGTTTACACCAGGCCTTCATCCTCTCTTCCCTGGTTCATCTCTCTTCCCTCTGCCCTCACGGTTCCCCTGAACAGCCAGGTGGGCTCCCTGCCTCCCGCCTTTGCCCTCCAGCCTGTCCTCCCCATGTCCCCACCACGTCCCGCCTCCGGGTCAGCCAACCATCCTTCCTTCAACCTTCGTGCTTAAGTCTGCTTAAATTAAAACACTTCCCTCCATTGTTCTTTCTTCTCTCTCTTGCTTTCTTGATCACATTCAGTCTAACTCTTCTTTTAAAAAAGCCTGTTCCCCAGGCTGGAGCTCATGGTAACCTGGAACTCCTGGGCTCGAGTGATCCTCCCACCTCAGCCTCCCAAGGAGCTAGGGCTATAGGCCTGCACCACCATGCCCGGATAATCTTTTTATTTTTGTAGAGTCAGGGTCTTGCCTTCTTGCCCAGGCTAGTCTAGAACTCCCGAACTTGAGCAATCCTCCCACCTTGGCCTCTCAAAGTGCTGGGATTACCGTCATGAGCCGCCACCGTGCCTGGTCCGTTCTATTCTAACATTGTGGCGCTCCCTGCCACGTTCCTTGCAGCGTTGCTTTCATCAGCCCATCCACAGGGCAGGGTTGGAGCCGTGATATCCCGTCCGCAGGAGGGGCCGTGACACCCGTGCAGCTGAGAAAGGGAAAGAGGCTGGAAGAGACCGACTTCGGGAGCCTCCAGACGCCAGGCGCCGGGGAGAACGCAGCACCGCGCGCGCAGGCTCCTGCCGAAATGAACCGCCCGCCTCTAACAGTGAGAAACACCCAGACGAACTCCAGTCGAGAGACGTTCTGCAAAACAGCTGGCCTGTATGCTTAGAGGACGTCAGCATCATCAAACACAGAGAGAGGATGAGTGACAGCCCCAGGCTGAAGGACTAAAGAGAGATGACAGCCAAACGCAAGGAACAACCCGGGTTTGCATCCCGAATTAGAAACATTGATTGCAATCAGAAACATTACTGGGACAACTGGCGAAATACCGGTATGGACTACGTCATTAGATAGCAGTCTTCTGTGGGTGTTGAATTCCCCGAAAACGGTCTGTACTCTGCACGTGTAAGAGGACGTCTCTGCTCTCTGGAGCTACTCACTGAAGTATTTAGTGGTAGAAGAAGACGATGTCCCCAACTTGCTCCCAACCCGTGGCGCTGTGCGAAGCCCACAGCCGTTTGTGGGGGGCGGCTGGCCGGCTGGTTGGTTGGCTGGTGTGTTGTTTGGGTGACTGGGAAGTTTATTTTCTCAAAGCCGTGACTAGACTGTCTGTCCATCCCTCCCCCTTTGGCTCCGGCTCTCCGTATTAGAAATTTGGCATTTTCCCTGGGCGCTTTCCGCTTGCACCCTATCTTTCACGTCGGACCAAGGTCTCGGGGGGTCAGCACGTCAGGGAAGAGCACGCTGCAGTCAGACCTTTTCCCCGAATGCATCCGGAAACCCGAGCTGAGTTATTCTGGGAGCAAAGGGTAGCCCCGAGTTTCGGTCTGTGGCTGACATTGCTCACGGCCGGCGGGACGGGAGAGGGCGAGCGTGATCGCGCCACAGAGAACACGCCTCAGGCCGGGCTGTTGCGGTGTGAGTCCTACACGCCAGCCCGACCGGGCCGTGGGGCGCCCAGACATTTGGTCAGATGTCATCATGCATGTGTGCGAGGGTGCTTCTGGATGAGATTAACACCGCGCTCGGCAGACCGAGTGAAGCCTGGTCTGGGCCTCCCGACGCGGTTGGGCCTCGTCTAATCAGCCGACGGCCCGACCTCCCTCAAATAGGGGGGTTCCTCCTGCCTGGCTGCCTTTCAGCCGGGACATTTAGACTCAGACTAAGACATCAGCCCTGCTCGGGTCTGGAGCCTGCCGCCGCCGTTGAACCGGAACCGCACCCTGGGCTCCCCGGCCCTCCCGGGCTGCGGCTGGCCAGCGTCAGACCCAGGACCCTGTCAGACTCCACGGCCACACGGGCCGGCTCATTATATGCGTGCGCGCACCCGTCCGCTCTGCTTCTCCGAGGAGCCTGGGCCCACACGGGCGGCTAGAGGAAACGAACGCACTCATTCTGCAGAGGAGAGATGCGGTCTAGAAACGCACGGGGAGTCGGCAGCGCTCACGGGATTCGGGACCAGGTTACACCTGCAGGGCGTGGACTCCCCACTCAGTGCTCGTTCACCGCGTCACACTGCCGTCACTTCCTCGTCCGTCCTGGCTAAGGATCCATGTAAGGCAACCACTGGAAATGGTTTATACTAAAGGTGACGACAGGCCCAGTGAGAGAATGTCGATTTCCTCAACAGCGAAAAGTCCCCCACATCTGGGGGTGTCCTGATGTGCTGCAGAGGCGGGCGGCTCCCCACACCTGGCAGCGCCCTCCCTGCTTGTGGGTGGGGCAGCCACTCTTGCGCAGCCCAGGGTGTGCAGCCCCGGGCTTCTAGAAAGCACACGCGGGGCTGTCTCCTGCCTCCGGGACACCTGGTTCCCCGTCCCCCTCTACGGACTGTGCCTGTGGAGCCCTGTCCTTCCACCACAGTGCCAGGGACCCTGATGCACTCGGCTACTTAGCTAGAAAAGCAAGGGACCTGCTGTCCTGATGATGAGGGGCTGGTATCTCTTCTACCCTGTGCATCTCTGCAAGACGTGCCGGGTTAAAGCCCTCGAGGAAGGCCGGCAGTCCAGGGTCGCCGTACTGAGACCCTCCTCCTGCCACATGCCGAGGGAAGTCACTGGGAATCAAACCCTAAGGAGCCCAGCGTTGGGGAAACGCAGCATCTGTCCTCTGGGGCCGCAGCTGCATGGGTGCGCCACTGCCGGCTGGCTTCCACGGCTGCGGCGGGACACCGGCCGGACAGGGGCCGGTCAGTGCCGGTGTGCAGCGGCCGAGACACGGACAGTCCCGGGTCAGGCTGTCAGAGAGTGATGGGCCGTCTCAGAGAGGAGCCACCTCTGGGAAGAAAGGTCCCTGCCTGCCCCGGGGAGAAGGAGGGGGAAGGGAGCAGGCCAGACAGACGGTGAGCTGAAAAGGAATTAATTGCTTCTGAGGCCAGGGCACAGGCTGGGGCAAGACCCCCAGAAGGGGTCGAATTTTTCAGCTGGGTAAACCATTGGGACATGGGCAGAGAAGATGCATTATTGTTGACACAGGGGCAGAATCACTGAAACTCGGTGATAAAAGATCTGCCCGTTGCCGTAGGTCGGTGAGCGCGTTGCCTGAACTGTCTGAGTTCCGACGTCTTCAACAGTGACGTGGGCTAACAACGGCTCCTAACCACCAGTGTGGCTGTCGGGACTAAAGACGAAAAGTCACTTTGTAAACTATTATTAGATTGCCTCCGTTGCTATTAAGCTCTACTTGTCTGGCCCCTGGTAGAGTCCCGGGGAAGAGTCTGTTGAAGGATTCCTAACTTTCATTTTATTGAGGGCTATCATGTGCTTGATGAAATTTAGTCCTGCAGCCCTCCCATGAGGGGGGCGTTGTGAGCCCCTGGGACCACTGAGGCGGCCGTCCCTGAGAGCACCCAGAACCCGGCCCGTGAGCGCTGGCCCCGCCAAGGGACGATGGGGCCCTGGGCCCGCACCCAGCCCTCCCGCCCCGACCCGAGCCCACCCGCTACCTGGCTTCACCGTAGGCTGCTGCTTTCCATCCCCGCCCCTTCCCTGGGGAGGTGTGGAAGGACGCAGCCCCTGCCGGCTGGTCGCTGCTCAGGGAGGGCGTTTGTGCGCGGCCGGGCGCAGCGTGGCCGGCTTGCAACCGGGACCTTCCCAGCCCCGTCCTATCAGGGCCCCTCCGAGCCCCTCCCCTTCTTCCTCAGCATTGTCCCAGGCCGGGCAGAAGAGGGGCTTCCCCACGCTTCCTGCCGCCAGGGGACGTGTGTGAAGTCACCCACCTGCGAAAGAAAAGGCCTCTGTCTCCCCGGGCGCCGGGCTCCAGTCCGGGACGTGCGTGGAGCAGCTCCGGTCTTCGCAGATAAAGTCCCAACTGTGTGGTGCGTGTCATCTGGCCCGGCAGCTCTGAGCGGGGACGCTCCGTTTCTGCTCTGCGAGTTCCCTCCTGCCCCCGGAGCGGCTCTGGGGCTGCGAGGCCACACGATGACCCTGCCGGGATGGCGTGGGCTGCCAGAAAGGAAAGCCCAGGTCAGCACTTCCCCCTGCAAACCACGCCGTGGCGGGGTGTCCGCCGTGGCAGAGGGGCTCCTGGCAGCCGTCTGGGTCCACTGCGGCTCTCGCCGAGGCCCAGGCGACAGACACGCTCTTGCCTGCTGGGAGACCAGAGCCGTTGCCGGGTCTTGGCTCCCGGGGCTGAGGCCGAGGGAGCCGTGGGCGCGGACCTGGGGTGCCAGCCCTGGCGGGCCCAGAGAGGCAGGCGGAGGGTCCGACACCACGTCACCAAGCGGCCAGTCGTTGGGTCAGCACAGAGCAGGCGGCAGATCTCAGCGGGGCAAGACTGAGGCCACTCAGACCGAACCAACAATGACGGGTCGTTGCGTGAGGTCAGGAGTTTGAAACCAGCCTGAGCAAGAGCAAGACCCCCGTCTCTACTAAAAATAGAAAGAAATTAATTGGCCAACTAATATATATAGAAAAAAATATTAGCCGGGCATGGTGGCGCATGCCTGTAGTCCCAGCTACTCGGGAGGCTGAGGCAGGAGGATCGCTTGAGCCCAGGAGTTTGAGGTTGCTGTGAGCGAGGCTGATGCCACGGCACTCACTCTAGCCTGGGCAACAAAGCGAGACTGTCAAAAAAAAAAAAAAAAGAAAAAAAGAATACACAGTCCTGGTTCCCATCCCAGGCCAACCTAAGGAAGCCACAAAGCTCTGGCCCCGGAACCCCGGAAGCAGTGTCGTAGGAAGAGCTCTGGCGGGACGGCTTGAGCTCACGGACACTCGAGCCTACGGGAGTGGATGCAAACTAGTTCTCGGGCTGCTTTTTCTGGGCAGTGGGGAGACCAGAACCTCCTACGGTATTAAGAAAACACCTCCCTTCTCTCATTTGACTGATTTATTTTGTCCCCCTTTTACTTCTCACGGCTTTAATGACTAGCGCCTCGAGACAGCGACTCTGGTCTCATTGTCACAAACGTCCACGCCCTGCTCCCTGGACCCTGGCGCCAGGCCAGGCCCTGGGTTCCTGGGTGTCCCCAGGTGCTGTGGGCAGGACGGAGGCAGAGGGCAGTGCCCGGAACACGGCGTGTCTGGACGGTGGCAGGCCCTTGGGAGTGACCTAGCATGACCTGTCTCTTTGCAGATGAGGAGCCTGCACCCCGGGAAGGCCCTGGAGGGCAGTTCAGTATAACCCTCTCAGCCCGCAGGCCTGTGAAGACCTCGCTCTCTGCAATTGTCTAGCGTGGCATCATTTTGAAAGGACATTTACTCGTTATTGCATTACACCCTGAGTACTTTCCGATGGAGCGTTCGAGGACCCCGCTGTTAGCTCCGTTCTAACGTGCAGAGGTGGCATGTGCTGCCCATCACCCCGTGGCCCGTGAGCGATGGGTGGAGCTGTGCAAAGACCTCAGGTCTCTGCCCTACACCCTGTAACGGTATCAGTCCGCCGGGTCTGGACTGTCCTGCAACACCCGACAGACAGGCCGGCTTAAACAACACACACTCACTGATTCCTCGCAGCTCTGAGGGCTGGACACCCGGGGTCAGGGCGCGGCAGGGGTGGCTTCTGACGAGGGCGCCTTCCAGGCTGGCACGGCCGCTCTGTCCCTCCGTGGTCTTTCCTCTGCGAGCACACGGGGAGAGCGTGAGCTCTGCGTCTCCTCCCACAGACAGGCCTATCAGAGGAGGCCCCGCCCTTACGACTTCACCCAACCTCAGTCACCTCCTGAAGACCTCATCTCCCGGGACAGCCACTCGGGGTGGGGCTGCCACCCAGGGCTGGGAGGAGGGGCGCGATTCCGTCCACAGCACTGCTGTAACACGTCGCCACAGAGTCGGAAATCGGGGTTTCAGCAGGGAGGCCTCCCTTCTGGAAGCTTCGGGTAGAATCCACTTCCTTGCCTTTTCCAGCTTCCCGGGGCGCCTGCACTCCTGGGCCTGGGGCCCGCCCCGAACTCCTGTTCCACCGTCGCACCTGTTCCTCACTCTAACCTCATAAGGATGCCTGTGACCGCCTGGAACCTTCTAGATGCCCCAGGACAGTCGCCTGCATCTCCTTGGCCACGTCAGGGCGCGTACTCACAGGCGTGGAGGATGCGAGCTCAGACCAACGCTCGGCCTCCACCTTCCCTTGCCCTCCTGGACCGCACGTCTCTCTTCCGTAAGATGAGGACAGAGACTCGGAAGGCCCGGAAGGCCTCTAAGACCCTCGCAGACTTCCTCCCGCTCTGGCGTGTGGTCTGCCGTGCTCAGAAGGGCAGGTCCTCGTGTCCCTCACGCATGTGTGGCACCTGCAGGCTGTGCCTCCCTGGCTTGGCACACAGATGAGGTGACTGCTCTGTCAGGTCCGAGTCTTTCCCCGAGAACGGTCTTGGTGCCTCCTTAGGACTCCTCCGTGTCGACCCTCTCATCCTCAACGTTACCGTCCAACTCCAGAATGGGTCCACCCCAAAATGGGTGCGTGTTGCTCAAACGTTAGGAAACATTCCCAGCTTGGGAATTTCCCGTCTCTTCTGCAGGCGCAGAGGAGAGTGTGGGCGAGTTCATTGATGCCTTCTACAGCATCCACCAAGCGCGAGTTACCACACCAAGTGCTGGGCTGGGACACCCACAGGCTGCACAGGGACGTGGGGACAAATCGGACGGGGATCAGGGACACCTGGCGTCCCCATCTGGGAGATGGCAGGAAATAGGTCAGAGAAGAAACTCCAGGGAGAGAATGCTTTGCAGAGGTGTGGGCGGTGTAGGGGACCACAGAAGAGACAGTGGGCGCCCTGAGACGTTCCACAGCGGGCAGCACTACCGTCCCTGGGGCCAAAGGGACAAGGGAGGACACACTCGAGCCGGAACACAGAGGAGAAAGCTGCGTCACGAAGGGCCAGAGCTGCTATCAGAGACTGGATGTCAAAACAGGGGGCCGGTGGGATGCAGGACCCTGGCCTCCCTCTACCTGCCCTCCTACCTGTGCCGGGTCTCTCCCACCCGACCGGAAGCTGACGGGAAAGGGAAGCACGAGACGCAACTGCAGGAGTTGGTCTCGGGGGACAAAGAGCAGGCAGAGAAGGGGGATGGAAGTTGGTGGCTGAGCACGTGTCCCTCCTGCTCTCCAGCCTGGCTCTGTCGCCAGAGAGCTTTGCTTCCCTGGGCAAGTCATTTACTCTCCCTAGGATTTTTTTTCCCCCTCACCTAAAAATGAACTGCAGAATGGAAATCTTCTAAAAGATGGTCTCTACCATCTACTTCAACTTTAATAATCTATGGTTTTAGATGGAGACATAAAAATAGAAATACAAGGGTAGGCTATACATACATAAAATATATTCAACACTCGGCAGAGCCATATGTTTGTTTTCTGTAAATATATGCAGTGCTGTTAAGTCGCGTCTTCCTAGGCATCCTTGTGTGTAAATATAACGACTGGGTTTCCCCTGGTGCACATAATTTAAAGCCGGCTTCCACAGCCTAAGAGAAAAATAGACCAACTGCGGTGTATGCCAGCGTTCGGTCGGGCCAGATTTCTTTGGTGGGGGGTGGGACACTTACGTGAACAGCTGTCATAAAAAAATAATGAAGCCCGTGAAGCGAACTGCACTCCAGCATGACAGTGTGCTCCGCTGACAGGCCGGGAATTTACTGCAGGTGCACGCAGACGATTGCCAACGTCCACACGAGGAGGAGTTTTCGCAAAGCTCAGTGGTGGTGCGTGCCTCCCGGGGGAAAGGGAGTGAAACGGAGCCTCTCGATATGTCCCAGACAGGCCTCGGATCTGACAGTCACTAGCACGGTGCTGCTTCCATCCGTGTGATTGTCTAATGATGCCCTTGAACGGAGATTGACAGCCATTGCCACCAAACGAAAATGCCACGATGCATTTGAGGGTGTGATGGAAGCTGGCTTTCTGCTGTCGGATCATTTCCTCAGTCCTTAACCCTGTGGCCCTGGAGCTCCGGGCTGCTCCCCCTGCCGGAGACGCCTTCTGGACTCGTGCCATGTGGCCGTTGTCTTCCTCACCGTTGCAGCCGCGGTGTGTTCACCCCTCCCAGCCCGACGAGTGCGGCCTGCAGGGCCGGAAACGGAGGGATTGACCCCTGGGAGCCGGGACTTTGCTCTACTCTAAGTGACAGCACCCGAGTGTGTCTCTAAGAAAATGTCCCGGTCCGTGTGAGTCTAAGTCCTGGGCAGAACAGGACTACACACTGGGAAGCGAGGCTAAGTCCCCCAGACAGGCACGTAGCTGGAGAAAATGAATTTTTAAATATTTGGAAAGCAGTATTGTGGTTTAATGGCCGGCAGCAATGCCAGCTGTGACCACTGCAGTTAGAGAAGGTGACAGATTCAGAAAGAAAATCAACCCACAAGGGGAAGAAGAGAATTTTCAAGAGGATTCCTGGCAAGGACGGTCCACCAAAGGCTCTTCTCGCCGCAGAGAACATGACAGTCATGATGGGCACCGTGGCCAGGTTTTGAGACAGTTAACAGAGGCAAATATAACAACTGATTGAAAGGGGCTGGTTGTTAGATCAAAAAATGAATATATGCATGGAAATTCCTGGAAGGATACACAGGCAACAGCAAATCCCCTTTGCTGAAATGACAAGAGCTCCCAGGGGAAGGAAACTTGAAGTCTTGAGGTAGGAGGAGGAATTTTATCTTCATTTTATATCTCTTAGTCCCGTCTAAATTTTTGACCCATGTGTGTATGACTGTTTCCGTTACTAACACCCGTCTAAGACATCCGACCATTCCACAGGCTCCAGTCCTCAGATTTGCAATGAGAAGATGTTTGCTACAGAATAGTTTCCAGAGAATCTGCCATGCGTTTGCACATGTCATACAGCCCTGGTGAAGGTTTGATGAATAAGTTTGCTCAGAACTTATAGAATCAAAATAAATAAAATCAAAAGGCTGTACAACATCAAAAGAAAAGCCTCTCTCTGTGTGCTGAAAGGCACAGCTTGGGGCATCCGACAAGCTCAGCTTGCAGTGGCAACTGTTGACATCAAACAGAATAGAAGGTCCCGCCATCAATGAGCTGCATAGGAGAGAGGACTTTCTCTGGCAGGAGAAGACATTATTGGGGGCACTGTGTCCTCTGCCAGCTCTTCCCGAGATACACACGAGATTTCCGCTGGTGGATCCCTTCTGGTGTCAAAGCCTTCCATCAGCCCCCGGCATTCTTCCAAAGAGGAGAAAGATAGCAGAGGTGACCTCGGAAAGCCTGACCTTGGATTTGGATACTGTCTAGCATTCTCTCCACTACCTTATGACTCAGGGATGCCACCCACGGGACGGAATTTAAGGCTTCCAAAAGCCATGATTTTGGAAATACTGCACCTTGCCCATTTGACCTTTGTACCCCAGCCCATGGTGACCTGTGCTCAGAGGTGCCTCTGAACCTTTCATTTCAGGCCGAAATGGCCCTCTGTATGTTTCATTTTTATTCCAACATCCCAACTCCATCCTCTTTCCCAAGCTCACAGACTCTGGCTCCTGATCTAACGCTGGCATTTGGTCACCTTCTCTCTCTCTTTTGAGATGCCTCAACTTCTTGGAACAAAAGTTCTAAACCACCTGTCTTCCCACATCTCCAGCTGATCTAGCCAAGAAAATTCACTGGATATGATTTAGAAATTTTAAGTAAATTGAACGAGGAAAAAATTCTGAAAAAAGAAAACTGGTGCAACACACTCTTTGTGGTGCAAGAAAATTACCAATACTCAAACTATCACAGGCTCTCATTGTTGACAAAACTGTTGTCTCCACTGATTGACCGACTTGCTTTCCAGCAAATGGCTTTGAAGTGAGTTGTTTCCCGCTGTGTCATTTGTTATCCTGCCCCTCAGCCTAATCTGCACACAACTTTACCAAGTCACAGTTCCACCCAGAACGCTGCCTCCCCAACCCACCCAACTTTCCACTCCTGCATCTCCCCGTCACAAAGCACCCATCAACACCCGTCCTGTGTCAAGCCGGTAAGACACCCTACTGCATCCCCTCCTGTGGCTACACCCCTGCACCCCTCCTCCAGCCTGGGAATAAAAGCCCTATTAAGTCTCCACCAAGCCCCCTACGCCAACGCCCATCCTACCACCACTCTATCCCGTGCATTATTTGATTTCTCTCATTTTGGGGACCTTAACACCCTCATACAGCTGTACAGTTCTGAAGGTGGCCATCGAGGAACCATGGCACCTGTGATGCCTGTGCAGGGGCCACACACAACACCCTCCACCCTGCAGAACCTTCCCCAATGCGGAGGGCAGGTCCCAGAATCAAGACTTTCTGAAATGTCATTGAGGACAATCCTGTGGGTCATCACCATCTCATGGAGTGCTCTTCCCTCTGGTCTGTGATTTTTGTTGAGGGTTGGAATCCCTCTAGCATGAATTGAAAGCTAGAGAGTGAAAGTCATAGAGGAAAGAGAGAAAGGGAGATAGAAACCTGGATCATCGGAGTTTGTTTGCCACGGAATTTGGGACACACAAATGACCTGCAGCATCAGGTCCAGCTGCTGCCAACATACGATTTTCCTTACAGGCCCCTCCTGGCAGACCTGTGAGCTCAGGAACTCGTTTTCCCATTTCAGCACTTTCTGCTCTTTGATTCTTCATGTCTTACTTATTTTTCTCTATTTTACACTCAAAATGTTTGGGTTTTCTGTTGCAGCTTTTTGCCTTCCTTTTAGCAAATGCCTTTTTTTATTAACAATAGTTTCCTCTTGCACATTGAGTCTTCATTTCTACATATTACTGACGATTATTTTACTTGCTAGCTGCAAAAGCCTACTAGCTGAGAACAAAGGGAGAATTCACGGGAAGAACACTGTGGTGGCTCATGCAGGGGAAGGAGAGGCTGACCAGCTTGGGAAAGTCGGGGTACACCTGGAACTACCAGAACCCAAACCCAGATGGCCCGTGCCTTCCTCACTCACCCTCATCTCAGCCTCATCTCTGCTTCCCGGTTGCATCCCTTGGCCCATGCTGGCTTCCCGCCTGTGGCTGGAAATACAGCGGCCAGCGCCTACCGAGGTTGACTTCTTGGGTCTCCCACCATCAGAGACTCGCCTTGCAGGTGCATTATGAAAAGTCCTAGGGAGCTGTGCTGAGCGGCCTGGCTTGGGTCAGGTTCTCAGACGAGGTCAGTCAGCCTTGGCCTGAGCTCCTGGCCCGACTCCTCTAACTGTAGGGGCTCAAGCCCACTCACACATGGGAAGGGAAGTGCTATCGCCGGGAGAGAGATGGGCAGGCAAGACAATAGGTCTTCCCTACATAAGTGCACATTTTATGGAATAATCATGAGAATAGCTAGGGCCGCAGTGGGGAACATTGGCTGGCTAAAGCAGGCCAGATTCCTAGTGTAGACAACAGTGCCTTCTACCGGTATTATTGGCGTCTAGAATTGCACTTGTGTAGTATGAAAGGGAGAATAATAGCCCCCCGAAGATGTCCATGCCTTCACTCCCAGGACCTGGGAGTAGGTTACATGACACAGCCAGGGGGAATTAAGGTTGCTTACCAGCCAACCTTACAGTAGAGAGATTATCCTGGGTCATCTGAGTGGGTCTAATGTAATCACCAGGGTCTTGCGTTGAGTGAAATTGAAAGTGTGAAATTGAGAGGCAGAGGAGTCAGGGTCGAGTGACATGGTATGAGAAAGATTGGACATTGCTGCCTTTGAAGACAGAAGAGGACCACAAGGCAAGGACTGCCAATGACCTCGAGGAGCTGGGGAAAAGGCAAGAAAATTGGTCCTGCCCTGGAGGCTTCATAAGGAAAGCAGCCCTCCCGACACCCTGACCTTAGCCAGCGAGGCCCATTTTGGAATCCCTCTGCATAGCTTCTGGCATGTAAGAACTGTGAGGTAATAAGCTTGTATTGCCTTAAGCCTCTGGGTTTGTGCTCATTTGTTACAGCAGCAATAGGAAACTACCACAAGCCACTCCACAATGTATACCTGTCTCAAAACTCACATGGTGCACCATAAATATATAAAATTTTTATTTGTCAATTAAAAATATACAAAAGATACAAAAACAGGAATTAGTGCATGCAGAAGTAGGGTTACAGAGGGAAGATTCTGGTTCAGGGAAGAGGGTCTTCATAGCAGATCCGGTTCTGCAGCCCTGCCCTTTGGGGCCCTGTGCTCGCCCGGAGGGTTTGGGCTGGGAGCTGACGGAACTGCTCTCACGAAAGGACCCTGTGAGCCTCTGGGCAGAGCAGAGCAGGGAGACAAAGGAGGTGGGCGCAGGCACACAAAGCATGGCAAACAGCCTCAGGAGGAGCCCGTGCAGTCCTCCCAGCCCAGCACCCCAGAGGAAGAACCACTGGGACCCCCCTTCCTTGCATTCTCCCACCAGACCTGCTCCGATCGGTGGGATGCACACAGCAGCCAGAGAAGGAAAGCTGGGGGCCTGCTGAGACCACCACGGCACCCGCTCCGACTTTCTTTGCTTATCTCGGCCTCGATCTCATGCTGAACTCCTAATCTCTGGGATTTTAACGCTGCAGTCTCTCAACATTTATGCGTGGAGTTTAACCACCTGACCCCCCATCATTTGAATCTCAGTTTTCTATAGCATTGCCTCCAGTGAGATTCTGCCCCCTCTCCAATACGCTTCCCTGTCCTCAGACCCTGGACTGGTGCCCCAGTTCCAGGCAAGCCCAGCCCTCCCAGGAGATGGGGACTTGCAGTAATGAGTAGGCTTTGACCCAGATACTTGCCGCTAACTCAATTCCTGGAGCCATTAGAAGCAACGGGGAAAAAAAAATCGCCCAAATTTAAAACAGTCCACGACTTTCTTCTTTTCCAACAATGACTGATAGTATTAAAATATCTAATTTTAATTTGGTACGTTTATCAATATTTCTTAACTCTCATGAACCTATTCCAACCCCATTATGCAGAGACATAGATTAAAATACATCTCTGTAATTTACAACAGTTAATTCCTTCCTGAATCCCGTGCTTCGAGGCTAAACCTGGCTTTGTGATGTCAGAACCGATTAGTGACAGAAAGCTAATGCTCGCTAAGTATGAATATTTCAGTTCATTTCTGCAACTGCTCTCCTTGCCATTTTTATCGGAAATCATCTCCCAACAATTTTCCATTCCTCTAGGAGAAGGACTAACACAGAAAGAAAACCACAATCTTTGGCATCGGACAGACATGGGTTTGAATCCCAGGCCTGCAGTAACAGCTGTAGGATTTGGGCAAACAAGTTACCATTTCTGAGCTTCCTTATGTGTCAACGGGAATGTGGTTATTTGCCTTTCAGGACAGTAGCGAGACTTAAATATATCTGTGAGCGTCTTCGTCTTGCCAAGCTCGGTGCCCCATGTGTTTCCCACCTCCACGGGCCCTAAACCCACCCACTGGCTTTCCAAAAGCTCAGGCAGACTCCTGGTGGGGCAACCCTGAGCTCCACCTGGATGGCTTCCAATCAGAAGGAAAGAATGTTCTCCTACCCTTTAAAGGAATGCAGCATTTTCTTGCACCCATCGATCACTGCTGGGTAGATTCTATTAGAAACTTGATGTTCCTTAGCAACCCCCTAGCAACAGAACTTTACCTGACATTTCATGAGGCTTTCCAGAAACTGTTTTCTAAAAGGACGTTTATACCTTCCCAACAGTTTTGTTTTGCCCTCAAGAAAATAATTTCTCTTTATTGCTTTTCTTGATTACAAAAGCAATACAAACTTGCTTTAGAAAATTCAAGCAATACACACAGAAAGTAAAAATTCTTGACGGATACTACCCTCCTCCCCCACCCACCCAGCCCACCCCACCCCCAGGAAAACCAAACACTATTAAACAAGACTGGGGGGGAGGGGTTGTTTGTGTGTTTGCTTGTTTTAGTAGAGTTTAATTACTTTCATGAGCAATGGGTAACAAAACTTTTTTTTAGGTATCAAAAAACAGAAAATAACGTCTCTTTCTTTTTAAGGAAGTTACTACCAGAATGCCTGAATTCTGGGTCGTTTTGTTATTGCCGTTGTTTTCCTTTCTTTCCTGGACTACAAATATTTCCTTTCTCCTGAATTTCAATTATCTATCCACCAGAAGTTTTATTTAATAAGAGCAGATCAGAATGAGACCCACAAAAGCACAGGCTATGTTGAAAGACTGTGAATAAGCCTGTCCAGTTCTGGAAGCCGCGTTGGAGCGTGTGACAGCAGGGATTCATGTGACGGCCAAGATGACATGCCACTCAGCAGCTCTCGTGCCAGGAAGATGAGCTGGAAGCTTCTGTACCTGAGAACAACAAAGCTGCTTTTTAAACAGTAATGAGAGTCTAAATGGATGCAATTAAAGCTGGAAGGAAAATAGTTTCTCTCTACCTCACATACCTTCTAAAACACACCAGAGTTCCTCTCTTTCAAGCTTCAGGAAGACTGAGCTAGTGGAATTTCATATCAACTAGCACGGAGGAAATCTGTATAATCTATGAAGGTCTAGCCTCTGACTTTACCAAAACTGAGCATCTTAACTCCAATTTTTTTTTGTGTGTCCAAAATAAGTCATTTTGATGGATAGCTCCACTGGGGGAAAAAAAGATAAATTAAAAAAAAATAAGTCAATATTAAAGCTCATGTATTCTACATGAGTACGGACAAAACTGACATCATGTTTAAATCATCATAGATTTCTCAAAAGAAAGGAAAAAGCCTGCAGTCGTTCATTCGTTTAACAAATATTCTTAAGAATGAATTTTTGGTCAGACCCTTTGCTAGGCTTTGAAGATTCCAAGATTAATAAGAAGAGACAAATAGAAGATAATACTCCGGGCACTACTAAATACACGCTGCAGCCACTGAGTATTGTATCTGCAAGGCAGGGAGTATAGGCTCAAAGGGAGCGTAGACTGGCACAATGCACAAACCTCCACAAAGGTGTCAAGGTGCATTTTCCCGCTAGGAACGGCTGCACGTTCCTCCTGTACCCACTGGATGAGTGGATGCCTATAATGGCATCACATGGCCGCAGTGGGATTTCCTGGGCTTCCAGAAAGTCGAAGCTCTGGAGCCCTGCTCCTGCAGGTAACACCCACCCTGTCTCAGACCCGGCATGTTATCACATCCGAGATTCATTTCTTCTGGATCTTAAAGGCAACCGAAGTTTGAAACGCTCCTCAGTGCAAACGACCCTGGGAGCTGCAAGCCCCGAAATTGTGAAGTGCGGCCTCAGGAGGGGCTGCCGGGCTCGTGCTGCAAAAGGCCCTACGAGAGCCAGCAGAGAGGCCGAGGGCATGAGACTCAGAGGTTTCAGATAAAGTCCAGGAGTACAGATGCTACTATATGAAACACATTAAAAAAACAAAAAACAGGCCTGTCATATCGAAGCAGGTAGAAGAGTTTGTAAATCCCTCATACGGAAGAGAATAAACAGTATTTTTTATCTCACATCCTGACTCCAGCATTCGTATCTCAGGGCAGGCAAGTCACGTAATCTCTTTGGGCCTCAGTTTCCTCAGCTGTAAGATGAGAAAAATAATCTGTGCCTCCCAGACTCATAGGGTTGGTACAAAGCACGTTAGGTGCTCCGAATCTCGAAAGCACCATTTAAGTACAATGTGTTGTTACGAGAAAGGACTAGAGGGAACTTCATCTACTCTGCTGTCCGCCTGCAGCATGGTCAGAATGGGAAATCAGTTCGAGGACTTCGGAAACTCAGTCCCACTGCCTCCAGCATGCCTTACAGTTCTGAGATTGTGGATTCCTTCCCCGGGTGGAAATAATCCTTGTAATACCCACATCATGTTTAAGGCTTTATTCACATAGGTTTTGTATCAAAAGGAAATACCCTATATATGCTCATTATAAAAATTTCGGGTAGGACAGAATACAGATAAACGTTGACCAAAAGAAGAAATATTTTCCAGCTCTCACGAGTTACCTGTCCCAAAATTACTTTTAACAACTGAATGTTGGCCACCACGTCTAAACGTGTTTGAAGTGGCACTCGGACTTTCGCGTCGGAAAGGCCGTAGGCGGCTGAACGGCTGTTCTGTGCCGTCACCTTTGAGGGCCTGACACCACACTCACCCTTCCTGTGCCACGGAGGGGCTCTGGTCCAGGCCTCGTGTGGACGTGAGGACTCAAGTGAGGAGCCACTGGACGGCCAGTGACCCGAGGTTCTCGGAGGCTGGAGCGTCCTCCCTGCCCTCTGAATGCCCATGTGCATTTGCGTGGCAGCCGTGTGGAACCCAGCGCTTGACTTGCCAAACACGCGGCGGCCAGCACTCCATCCTGGTCAAAAGGCTTAAAGCCTCGCGCAAATGCTCTGCCCCAGCCTCCAGAAGGGAAAAAGTCTGCAACCACTGCAAACATGACTCCGAGTCACCACTCCCCGAGTGGACTCCAAGCAGGAGTGGTGGTTTGCAGTCACTGCCTTTGGTTGTCGTCCTTCCCTCCCTCCCTCCCTCCCTCCCTCCCTCTATCCTTCCCTCCCTCTTCCTCCCTTTCCTGTCAATCCAGGGGAATGCTTCCCTTGGATGAAAGCTTACGTGGGAGTCCCTCGTCCCTTCTTGCCTTCCCAATCCCTATGGGAAACACTCTCACAAGGACAGAACCTCGCTGGCCTGACGCTGAGTCAAAGTCATGCTTTAAGAGTTGGTCAGTGCACTCCCACTTAGAACTGGAACCAGACAATGTTGCCCACTATCTCCACTTCTGTTCAACATAGTGCTGGAAGTCCTCGCTACAGCAAACAGACAAGAGAGTGGATTTAAGGGAGTCCAAATGGGAGCAGAAGAGATCAAACTCTCACTCTTTGCTTATGACATGATATTATACCTAGAAAACCCCAAGGATTCAACCAAGAGACTCCTTGAATTGATAAATGAATGTGGTAAAGTCTCAGGATACAAAATCAATACACAGAAATCAGAGGCATTATATAGGCCAACAACAGTAAAAGTGAGAACCCACAGACTCAATTCCCTTCAAAATAGCAACAAAGAAAATAAAGTACCTTAGAATATATTTAACCAAGGAGATAAAAGACCTCTACAGGTAGAACTATGAAACACTGAAGAAGGAAATAGCAGAGGACGTAAACAGATGGAAGAATATACCATGCTCATGGGTCGACAGAATCAACATTGTTAAAATGTCTATACTACCCAAAGTGACCTACAGAGTCAGTGCAATCCCTATCAAAATACCATCATCATTTTTCACAGATATAGAAAAAATAATTTTATGCTTCATATGGAACCAGAGAAGACCCCGTATAGCAAAATCAATCCTAAGCAATAAAAACAAAATAGGAGATATCAATTTACCAGACTTCAAACTATACTACAAGGCTATAGTCATTAAAATAGAATAGTACTGGCACAAGAACAAGGACATTGACCAGTGGAATAGAACAGAGAACCCAGATATAAAACCATCCTCATATAGCCAACTAATCTTCAACAAAGCAGACAAAAACATACACTGGGGAAAATAATCCTTATTCAATAAATGGTGCTGGGAAAAATGATAGCCACATGTAGAAGACTGAAACAAGACCCACACCTTTCACCTCTCACAAAAATCAACTCACGCTGGGTAACAGATTTGAACCTTAGGTGTGAAACTATTAGAATTCTAGAAGAAAATGTTGGAAATACCCTTCTAGACCTTGGTCTAGGCAAAGAATTTATGAAGAAGACCCCAAAGGCAATCACACTAGCAACAAAAATAAACAAATGGGACCTGATCAAATTAAAAAGCTTCTGCACAGCCAAAGAAACTGTCAAGAGAGCAAACAGACAACCCACAGAATGGGAGAAAATTTTTGCAAGCTACACATCTGATAAAGGGCTGATAACTAGAATCTATTTAGAACTCAAGAAAATCAGCAAGAAAAAATCAAACAACCCTATCAAAAAATGAGCAAAGGACATGAACAAAAACTTCTCAAAAGAAGACAGAATAATGGCCAACAAACATATGAAAAAATGTTCAACATCTCTAATCATCAGGGGAATGCTAATCAAAACCACAATGAGATATCACTTACCTCCAGTGAGAATGGCCTTTATCAAAAAGTCCCCAAACAACAAATGCTGGCGTGGAAGCGGAGAGAGAGGAACAATCCTACGCTGCTGGTGGGACTGCAAACTAGTTCAACCTCTGTGGAAAGCAATATGGAGATACCTCAAAGCGATACAAGCAAATCTACCATTTGATCCAGCAATTCCACTACTGGGCATCTACCCAAAATATCAAAAGTCACTTTATGAAAAAGACAACTGCTCTCGAATGTTTATAGCAGCACAATTCACAATCGCAAAGCTGTGGAAACAACCCAAGTGCCCATCAATTCATGAGTGGATTAATAAAATATGGTATATGGGATACTTGAAGAAACAGCTTTAAGAAACAACGGTGATATAGCACCTCTTGTATATTCCTGGATACAGCTGGAATCCATTCTACTAAGTGAAGTATCTCAAGAATGGAAAAACCAGCACCACATGTACTCACCAGCAAATTGGTATTAACGGATCAACACCTA